TATTGGAAGTCTTAGCCACAGCAATTAGACAAGAAAAAGAAATAAAAAGCATCCAAATTAGGAATAGAAGAAGTAAAACTGTTATTATTTGCAGATGACAAGCTACTATATATAGAAAACCCCAAAGACTCCACCAAAAAAACTATTAGAACTTGATAAATGAATTCAATAAAGTCACAGGATACAAAACTGACATACATGAATTGACTATTTCTATGCACTAATAACAAGCTAACAGAAAGAGAAATTAAGAAATTCCATTTATAATTACATCATAAAGAATAAAATACCTGAGAATAACTTAAACTAAGGAAGTTAAAGACCTGTACTCTGGAAACTGGAAGACTGTGAAAGGAATTGAAGATGACACACACAAAAATGGAAAGATATATGCGATGCTTATGGGTTGTAAGAATCAATATTGTCAAAATGTCCATAATACCCAAATGAATCTACAGGTTCAATGCAATGTCTATCAAAATACCAAAGTCATTTTTCCCAGAACTAGAACAAAGAATCCTAAAATGTATACGAAACCACAAAAGACCCCAAATAGCCAAAGCAATCTTGAGAAACAACGAAGCTGGCAAGATCATGACTCCTGGTTTCATGACTCCTGGTTTCAAACTATACTACAAAGCCACAGTAATCATAATAGTGTGGAACTGACACAAAAACAGACATACAGATCAATAGAATAAAACAGAGAAAAAAACCCCTAGGCATATATGGTCAATTAATCTATGACAAAGGAGGCAAGAATATATAATGGGAACAAATTTAAAATGTATTAAAGACTTAAACGTAAGACCTGAACCACAAAATTCCTAGAAGAAAACATAGGTAGTGAGCTCTTTGATATCAGTCTTAGCAATATTTTTGGCTCACTCTGTCCAGTCAAGGGCAACAAAGGAAGCTTTTGCATGCAAACCATCAACAAAACAAAAGGCAACTACTAAATGGGAGAAGATCATTGCAAATTATACATCCAATATGGGATTAATATCTAAAATATATATAAAAAACTTACACAACAAACAAATAACTCAATTAAAAAATGGACAGAGGGCTTGAATAGACATTTTTCCAAAGAAGACCTGCTGATGGCCAATAGCAGATGAAAATGCTATATGAAAATATGCTCAACATCACTTGTCACCAGGGAAATACAGATCAAAATCACAATGACATATCACCTCATAACTGTCAGATTGGCTATTATTAAAAAGACAAAAAAAAATCACAAGTGTTCTAGATCAATGGAAAAGAACAGAAATCCTGGAAATAAAACCACAATTATATGGTCAATTAATCTTCAACAAAGCAGGAAAGAATATTCAATGGGAGAAAGACAGTCTCTTCAAAAAATGATGTTGGGAAAACTGGACGGCTACATGCAAAAGAATAAAACTAGACCACTTTTGGGGCCCCTGGATGGCTGTTGGTTAGGTGTTTGCCTTTGGCTAAGGTCGTGATCCCGGGATCCTGGCATTGAGTCCCTCACAAGCTTCCTGTCCAGTGGAAGTCGGCTTCTCCCTCTCCCTCTGATCATGCTCTCTCTCTCTCTCTCTCTCTGTGTCCCAAATAAATAAAATCTTAAAAAAAAGAGAGAGAGACTGGACCACTTTTTTATACCACACACAAAAATTCAAAATGGATGAAATACCTAAATGTGAGACCTGAAAGAACCTAAAAGAGAACATAGGCAATCGTGTGTCTCATATCAGCCACAGCAACATTTTTCTAGATACGTCCCCTGAGGGAAGAAAATGAAAGCAAAAATAAGCTACTGAGCTACATCAAAACAAAAGTTTCTGCACAGTGAAGGAAACAATCAACAAAACTAAAAGGCAACCTATAAAATGGGAGAAGATATTTGCAAATGACATACCCATGAAGGGTTAGTGTCCAAAATATACAAAGAACCTAATTCAACACTCCCACAACAAATAATCCAATTAAGAAATGGGCAAGAGAAAGGAACAGACATTTCTCCAAAGAAGACTGCCAAATGGCCAACAGACACATGGAAAGATGCTCAATACCTCTCATCGACAGGGAAATGCAAATCAAAGGAACCATTGTGCATTGTTGGTGGGAATGCAAACTGTGGGAAATAGTATGGAGGTTCCTCAAAAAGTTAAAAATAGGACTATCCTATGACCCAGTAATTGCACTACTGGGTATTTACCCCCAAAATACAGAAACGCTAATTCCAAGGGATACATGCATTTTTGCAGTATTGACAATAGGTAAGTTATGGAAGCAACCCAGGTGTCCATGGACAGATGAACGGATGAAGAAGATGTGGTGTATCTATACAATGGAATGTTAGCCATAAAAGAATGAAATCTTGCCATTGGGAAAACACGGGTGGATCTAGAGAATATTGTGCTTAGTGAAATAAGTCAGATGAAGAAAGAAAAATACTGTATGACTTCATTTATATGTAGAATAAAAAACACAAATGAACAAACAAAATAAAAGGTGAAAAAAGTAAAGGGGACTAGGCAGGGGTACAAGCTTCCACTTACAAAATAAATAAGCCATGGGGATGAAAAGTATGGTGTAGGGAATACAGCCAATAATAGTGTAAAAACTCTGTATGGTGAGTAGACTTATCATGGGGATTACTTCATATCATATAAAATATCGATTCACTACTGTGATAGACACTTGAAACCAATAGAACATTGTTATGTCAATTATATGTCAATGAAGGGTGGATGCCTCCAGTGTTTGAGAAAAAAAATGGCCATATAGGAAGGCTGCTGTGTTCATCTCATGGTTCTGCATGGGCCTGGATGCAGCTATGAGCACTCCTCACCTGCCAGGAGCCCAGCGTGGAGTCCTCCTGAGGTACCAGCAGAGCCTGAGGGCACCACCTCACCCGGCAGGGGCTTCTTTCCAGCCTCGCTGATGGGAGCAGGAGTGCTGGCCTTTCCCACTTCCCCAGACTCCCAGAAGTAGGTCTAACCATCACGCAGGTTGCAGGGGTTACCCCACAGAGCCCCCTTCTTTCTGCGACCCGGCCTGAGGGTAGGAGGGAAGGGGGGGGTCTGACTTTCTGCAGTCTCTGGAGTAAGGAGGAAATCAGTGCCCCAAAGGCCCTCTCAGCTGGGTCCTTCCTGCCCTGGCACTGAAGAAACAGTGCTTGAGGTTTCTGGACCATGCCCACACCTTAGGCAATGCCTGTGTCTCACTCTGATGCAAGCCCAGGAGGCACACCAGTGGGCAGTGTGGCGGGAAAGAAGGAAGTGGAAGGAAGCCCCACTGGGCCCCCAATCAGGTGTTCTGGCCCATGGGGGGAGGGGATGGCCGGGTAGTTGCTTCCTTCCTGCCAATCCCGGATCTGCACTCTCTTTGTCCACCTTCTAGGCCTTGGGGCAGAAGGAGTCTGGTCTCAAGGGTGGCCTGGGTGAGGCCAGGCCAGGAAGCGATACAAGGAGAGAGGTCAGGTGCTCTAGGGTCTCACCCTTCAGTGACCCCACCTCGTGTCTGTCCAAGGCTGGCCAGGGCGGGAAGAGGGCCCAGTCTCCACCTGATTTTACCTGGCTTTCTACCTCCTGTGGGTGGAAGAGCTCACACTCTGCCAGCAGGAAAGGCCCTGAGCTGTTTCCCAAAGTGGAGTCACAAGGTCAGGATCGTGATGAAGTACTCACTTATGTCCTGGTGGTCCCCGGGGCTCCCATCTCAGGGGGAGTGGGCCCAGGCATTGTCACCTAGTACTAAAAACCTTTCCTCTGTATCACTTTTCTGCCCCAGGACCGAGCTTCCAGGAGAGCCTCTAACCAGGATGAGGTCAGCCATGGGGCACCCCAAATTCCTGGCTACCTTTCAGTTCCACTGATCCCTAACCCAGATGGACTCTAGTGGTCCTCTGTCCTTCAGGCTTGGGTCACATGAGCTCAAGATCCCTAATGGGCCAGCAAAGTCCTGGGAAGCTTCTGCAAGGCTGGGGTAGACGGTACAATGGCTGTGCCCACCCCCTTTCCCCTGACCCCTGGTCTTAGGCACAGCCACCCCCACTCTTCCATTTAGGAAGCCACTTGCTTACTTCTCGGTTTGTTCATTCAGATAAGAGTGCTTTAGACACCTTCTTGGTGCCCACTTATGTGCCAGGGACTCGGGAACCTCAGGCAGAGCAGCTCACAGTCTAGCTCAGGAGGGCAGATCTGTCCAGGTGCAGATCAGCTGGCTGGCAACTGGGGTGTGAAGAGTGAGGTCTGGAGGGGTGCTTGTCGGGGAAGCTCAGGACCCCTGAGGAAGGGAAAGGATTTGAATTGAGCCCTGAGGGAGAGGGGGAGCCCAGTGCAGGAGCAGAGGACTGAGGGGGGCGTTGCATGACGGTCCTGTGGCTATCCAGGGCACAGGGAGCTAGAGAGGGTGCAAAGTGAGAAGCGATGCTGGGGCCTAGAGGGAGAGGAGCCCTGATGATTTCCCACGGGACACGCTGCCAGATGCACACGCGCATGCATCTGTAGGGGTGCCAGGGCTGCTGTGTACCCCTGCACCTGTGCCACGTCTGTGTGTGTGTGTGTGTGTGTGTGTTTGTGTGTGCATGCACCAGGGTTTTGCAGGCTCTGGGATCTACAGTCAAGTCGGCTCCCACTTGCTTAGACCTTTGCAAAAGTTAGATTTCCTTCACTCATTCGCTCATTCATTCATTCCCCCCCCCCCCCCCCCCCCCGCTCGCCAGGCCCCGGGCTGGCTGGAGGGTGCTGGGGACAAGTGCTTGCCCCCAGACAACTCAGAGGCTGCTGGGTGAGGTCAGACACAACCCGCGATGGGGACGCAGCCTGCTGAGTTGGGGTGACACCGTCCAGGCTGCGCAGCAGCACGGTCCTGGGGGCGGGCGTGGGAGAGAGCAGCTGCGCGGAGCCCACAGGCCAGGGGCTGCCTCCCCTAGAGGGCGGGGAGCCCGTGAGTCACCGGGGAAACCCCTCCCGCGGGGCCGCCGGCGAGGCAGTTCCCCCCACGGCCCCCCGGGGGCGCTGCGGGGCGGGGGGCGGGAGCCGCGGCTCTCGGAGCCCACGGAGCGCTCGGCACTCGCTCCGCGGAGGTTTCCGCGCCGGCCGTGCGCGCGGCTCTCGGCTCTCGGCTCTCGGCTCTCGGCTCTCGGAGCGCCAGCAGCTCCCCTGCGCCCCGGGCTCCCGGCGCCGCCGCCCCTCGGCGACATGGGCGTCCCCCTGGGCCCGGAGGCCGGCGGCCGGCGCTGGGGGCCTGTGCTCCTCGCCGTCTTCCTGGCCGCCTCCCGAGGTAAGGTCTGCAGGAGCTGCGCGGGCGGGCGCGGGGAGGCGCCCCGGGACGACCCCGCGGGGGAGGGGGTCGCCGCGGAGCCCCCCCCGCCCCCGCCCCGTCCCGTCTCCTCCTTGCGGGGCCGAGCTCTCTCTGGGCGGCGGCACATCTGCGCGTTCTGACAGCTGCCCCAGCTGCTGCCTGCGGGCCCCTGGCTGCCGGGAGCCCCGTGCAGGAGTAGCTGCTGCGCACGGGAGACAGACACACAGACACGGCGGGGACAGCCCCAGCATTTTCTAGGGGACGCCTCGGGCTTTTGACACCTGTGGCATCTCCTTGCCCCTTCTGCCTCAGGGCTCCAGGGACTCACTGGTCTCTGCGCCCTGCTCCCTGGGGACCCTCCTGCTTGAACCCTGGGATGGGGGCACTGGCCCACTCCCAGATGCGGGCGCCCAGCTGTCCTTATACTGAGGGTCTGCGAGCTGCGAGCGGAGTGGTCAGCTGACTCCTGGCAGCCTAGCAAGGCTGCAGCTCAGGGACGGGTGTGGGCCCCCCAGGAGAATGTGGACCACTTTCCAGACTCAGCCAGGAGCTGCCCCTCTGGGTCCCCGGGGTAACTTATGGCATCTTTCTGGTTTGGGTTTCCTCAGCTCATGCTCAGAAGCCCTACACCAGGGAGGCGCCACTTTCTTCTTCCAAAGTCCAGACTGTCACAGCTCCAAGTGGAATCCTGGCCAGGACTCAGGGGCTCCCGGGGTGGAGGTGCGGGGGCAGAGGTTGGGGTACCCCCAGCCTGGTTCTTGCGTGCCCAGCACTGGAGTGGCTGGATCTCAAGGGAAGAGGGGGCCAGCAGGCAGCCTGTGAACTACACTTTGTGGGAAGGGCCCAGGGAAAGCTTGAGTCATGCCGGGAGTCAGAGAGGCAGGAGGAAGGTGGGGCGCTTGGCACAAGTGGGCGGGTCAGAAGAAGAAAGGAGGGGGGCACAGGGTCAGAGCAAGAGCAGGGAGTGGAGAGAGCCTGCAGTGTGCCTTGCAGACAAAGTGGGTGCCTGTAGGCAGCTGTTATCTCAGCTCCGAGCTGGCCTCTGCTAAGGAGGAGGGAGCCCACACCCCTCACACAGAGCTGCCTAGCCCTGGCCTGGAGTCCCCTGGGATAGGGGAGGCAGTCTTGGCACCAAGGCCACACTTCATGGCAGGATGTGGCTTCCAGAAAAAGCAGGGGATGGCAGCAGGCAGGAGGCCAGCAGTGCACCCGCCAGGGAGCACCTGCCCTGCCCCTTTCTCCCCAAGTGACCCCGAGAGGTCCTTCTGTTTTCCTGCCTCTTCCCCTGCCGTCCCCTGGCTGAGCTGCTCTCTCTTGGGCAACCCCAACTGGGGAGACTGAACTCTAGAGAGCTAAGGTACCCAACGTCGCAGAGTAGCCGGTCACGGCGAGGCTCAGAGCCCTCACTCCTTATGGTCTACCTGGCCAGGAGCCTTCTCCCCTCAAGGCCTTGGCTACTCAGACAGCTTGGCACTCCAAAGGGCCAGCTCTTCCTGGGCCCAGCTCAGGGATATGATTAGGCCTCTAAGCGGCTTTCCCCAGAAGGGGATCAGAAGCATTCTCTTAGCTTGCAGCCACTCTGGGACTCAGTATTCTTAACTATAGCATGGGCGTGCTAATGAATATTCACTCTGCCCAGGACAGTGTGTAACAAGTGGCTAACGGACGGGGGGCCTGGTCGCAGGCACCATCAGGAGGGACTGTGGGTCAGAAAGACCTACTCGCTGGCCTCCTGAGGTGCTGGGCTGCCTTGGGCAGGACTGCTCAAGGTCAAAGCCTTCATGTCTGGGAAGGTGAGGTGGAGGTGGGTATGTAGGCCTGTCTTCTAAGCTCTGCTGAAGGTGCCCCTTTCCTGGGCCTGACTCAGGGGGAGACGGGTAGAGGGAAGCACCTCCAGAGCCAGGGCCCATAGACCCCAAGGGTGGCACACTCTTCCTTCCCAATAGGCACTCCTAGGACTTGAGGGAGTTCCTGGCCTCAACATGTCCTTATAGGCTGACCCAGGAGGCCCAGATTCTGGGACTAGCATATGGAGGTGCAGTGAGGTTAAGGAGGGGAGACCCTATCTTCCCCTTCATGGTAAACAAGACTGCGGGGCTTTGTTGAGTAACCCAGTGGTGCAAGCCTATGATGCAGCAAAGGTCAGCTCTTAGGAAATCTACTATCTTCTGTCCAGAGCCTCTGAGGTGGCCCCAGAGGCCAGCCCATGGGCATGAGGGGGCATCTACCCAATGCCAGGGATCCCCAGCTGGGCTGGTTGTTCCTGTCCCCCTGCCCCCCCCCACCACCCAAGCAGGCCAAAGATCACCTGCTGGGGCCTGATCTCCCTGGGAGAGGGTGGCTCAGGTGGGAGGGACAGTGCTGGGAAGCTGCAAGAGGCCATCTCCCTATATGCATACACATATGGACCTTGGGCCCCAGCAGATCAAGGGAAAGAAGGAAGGGCTCCTCGGTGCCCATCAGGCCTATAGGCAGTGACCCCTTTGACCAGCACTGACAAAGCCCCGCATACTGAGCTTGAGGTCCCCAGTTTTAGGCTGACTACTCACCCAGGGGCAATCTGGCTTTCCCTGGGCAGGGTGAACCTGGGATTGGCAGTGCACTTTCTGCTGGACCCTTGGGTCCCCTTAGCAGCAGCACCGGCAGGCCCCAGGCCTTGCTGATGGCACCCTGTATGGGAATGGCGGAGCAAGGGACCTGAGGTTGAGTGCCTTGTATGCTTCCCATACAGTCCAGTCACTCAACCATCTGGTCTGGGGAGTCAGTTCCATCTAGGTTCCAATTCTAAGATGGCCATTTACGGGCTGTGACTTTGAGCAAGTTACTCACATCTCTGTGCAAGTGCCTTCATCTCTAAAATGGGATGATGACGGCCCCTCCCTCAGGGGCCTGCTGTGAAGAGTCAGTGTGCAACCTCAGCACTGTGCCTGGTGTCTGAGCTCGCTCTTGGCTTTCTGAGGCCACGTACCATTGGCCCTCCATCTAAATTCCTTGCTGCCTGCAGAGCCCGGTGGAGAGCTCAGGGCATGGACTTGAATATTCCCAGAAGTTGCACAGGTCCAGCTACCAGTCGGCACCTACAGGCACTTGGGAGTGTGAAATGTCCATGGAGGCACCTGCAGATTCTCTTCAAGCTCCCCAGAGATGGGGGCATTTTGCACTTTCAAGGCCACCAGCTCAGCTTGGGGTTTGGTGGTCAAACTGGGGTCTTTCCTGCAATTTATCTTTATGTTTAGCCTATTTTTTCTGGTTGCTCACTCCCAGCAAGTGGATGAGGTCCCTAGTTTGGGGCTGCCGCGCCTATCCATCATTCAGTAATGACCTTTCTGTGCTTCTGCCCAAGCAGACCTCATCCTTTAAATGTTCCACATAGGATACTATTTCCTGTGGGGTCCCGGGGTCAAGTCCTGCCTCTGTTGTTCGCTCCCTGTGGGACCGCGAATGCACCCTCTGAGCCACAGGGAGGCTGGGTGACATGGTTTCAGTGAGGCTGCCCCCCTTCTGAAGGGGAGTCCCAGGAGAGTACTTCTTGAGCTTCAGCCTCCTACTCATTACTTTTGGGATTTCTTTTTTTTTTTAATTTAGATTTATTTATTTAAAGAGACACAGAGAGAGGCAGAGACATAGGCAAAGGGAGGAGAAGCAGTCTCCATACAGGAGCCCAATGTGGGACTCGATCCTGGAACTCCGGGATCACGCCCTGAGCCGAAGGCAGATGCTCAACCGCTGAGCCACCCAGGTATCCCACCTTTGGGATTTCTGAAGCATCTACCTATCCTATGTACTTAGTTTTTCCCTCCAATCAACTCATTCTTTTACTTAAGTAAATAGATTTTTTAAAAGGAAACTTTCTATCACTGCCACCAGTGGAAAGCCAGTATTATTGCCATAAATAGAACAAAATCATACAAGAACACAATAAGAAAACCAAATAAGGATATTAAATTCTAGCTAGAAACTATAGCCTGGGGAAGGCTCTGAGCCTGAAACCTGCCGGCCCTTGTTAAAAACAAAACAAAACAAACCGGGGGGAGGATAACCTTCTATGTGATTCGATGCCATTTAATGACATAAAACTAAAAGTAAAACCATCTATGCTGCAGTCACCATCAGCTCCTCCCCCCATCACTGCAGAAGCAAATTCACCACTGTGCGGAGCGGTAGCTGGTGGCAGGGGATGGGTCAGCTCTCCCAGAGGAAAAGAAAGAGAGCAGTAGTCCCCAGCCTAAGAGGTCAGGGCAGGGTCAGAGGGCCTCTCTGGGCTTCTTCCAGCCCCCGATCCTCCCAGCCTGTTGCCTTCCTCAAATAAATACACTGTCCAAGTAAATACAGTAGCTCCAGCTGGGGCCTCTCTTCCGTTGGGGCCAACTAGCTATCCCAGTAACCACGGGGGACGGAGGGGGAGAGGGAGAGAGAGAGCTTATAGCAAGCTGGGCCTTCACTGGCCCGGCCATCAGTCCATCCGCAGGAAGGCCATGCGCCCTCCAGTCGGTCCCAGGCTACTTCTCGCGTGAGTGTCAGCCACCACGGGCAGCCTGCGTTGAAGACTGGAACGTGGACCTTAGGAAGTCCTCCCAGGACTGACCCTGGAGGGAAGCTGGCTAGAGCTAGTGTTCCCGGCTGCAAGCAGTCATCCTCGGGGAGGGCCTGGGGAGGCTGGGAAGGAGTCATCCAGAGGAGCGTCCATTGGCAGGGCGTCTGGCCAGCTGCCCGGGCCCTCTCCAGGGAGGCGCGCCGGCCCACGGCCTCCAGCCCCGGATGCACGGATGCCTTCCCAAGGTGCTGGAAGTGCTGCTTCCTCCAATAGAGCCTGGCTTCCCCTTCCCAGACTCCCTGGTCTGATGTGAATGGACACTTCCTGCGGGGGCAGGTACCAATAAACACATCTGAGATGCCCTTTGTCCTTGCTGGCCCCAGACCCCAGGGGCTGACCTGCCGGCCCAGCCCCTCGCACCGGGGGCACTTCCTGGTTGGTCCTT